TGGCTTGGCTGAATTCTGATTCAAAAAAATGTTTTCATACAAAAACCATATAAATGAAAATATGCTTCAAAAAGATTCAAACTTTTTTGTGGAACTTGTTTCACTTAAAAATAATTAACTGCAAAATATGACATGAGAAGGAAGAATCGGAATCATTACGAAACCATGTTTTCACTGTTTTAGTTAACAAGCGGAACATCACTGATCCAAAGCGTTTCAAGTAGAAACGTTTCGGCTGTGTACTGTTTAGCTCTGATTCTAGTGATTCTCGTAAGAATCAGAAACGGTTTACAGTGCTAGTGCGTTTGGCAGAGCTCCAGATTCTCACAGCAGAAACATTTAGGGGAATTTTGCTATGGGACACTGGGAAAACATGTAATTGGCCGGCACACACAGCCAAACCGAGAATTTGTCAAAAGACACCGCAAATTTGTGGTTCTTTTCCCGGACACACCGCATCGATTATTTTATTCATATCTCAGTTTTAGGGAGAGAGAATGTGGGAGAAATGTCGTCTTTGCCCTTGTCTTCAACCTCTGGCCGGCGCGACCATGACAGGAGCTGAACGTCACCGACGAGCTGGGGCTGGGCCTAGAGAGGGCACGGGCCGAGCGTCTCCTCCACCACGCCTCGAGGCCCGGATCGAGCGGCCCCTTCTCCACGCCTCGCCCAGCACCACCGGATCCACGGCCGAATCTGCACCGCCTCCCCAGCACCATCGCCTCCCTAATGCCGCCGGCTCCGCACCGGTGGCGGCATGACTGCTCGGCGGCCCCGAGGAAGCAGGCGGCGCGACGCAGCGGCGAACCACGCCAAAGGGTGCGCGGCCCGACTGTGGAGGTGCAGTGGCGCTCTCACGCACGCGCAGCGCGCGCGGCGACGCGACAGCTCTTCCCACCAGACCATGGCGCTCGCGCCGCACCGCACCAACAGAGGGCGAGGAGGAGAGGGAGCGCAAGGGCGATTGAAGAGGGTGCCGGCGTCATCAAGGCCGTCATCACGCGCCACCTCTCGCGCGACAGCCTCGCCCACCACTGCCCATGGTGCTCGCGCCGACACGCACCAAGAGAGGGCGAGGGAGGGAGAGGCAGAGGGAGAGGGAGTGTGAGGGCGAGTGAGGAGGGCGCCGCTGGCATCGGAGGAGTAGATCGGAGGAAGAGGACCCGAGCGGCAAGTGGGGATCTCACCGGCCGACCAATGACCAAATCGGTGGCGGCGTGTTACAGCAAATAATCAGCAAACGTCCGGAGGTTGAAGACGAGGGTAGTTGGGACATTTCTCCCACATTCTCTCTCCCTAAAACTGAGATATGAATAAAATAATCGGTGCGGTGTGTCTGGAAAAGAACCACAAATTTGCGGTGTCTTTTGACAAATTCTCGGTTTGGCGGTGTGTGCCGGCCAATTACATGTTTTCCCAGTGTCCCATAGCAAAATTCCCCAAACATTTATGATGATGAATTGGAATCACTTTATGAAACCGTTTGACTAGTGAATCGGATTCCAATTTAAAAAATCATGTAAATAAAAATATGTTCAAAAAAATTCAAAACTTTTTGTGGATGGGGAACAACTTAATAAATATAATTAAATGCACCAGAGATCTGTTAACTTGTGAGAAGATTTCAGTTAGGTCCATCAACTTTTAAAGTGGTTTTTTGGTACAACCGTTTCACTTAGGTCCATATCGTTCCACGTGGACTTCTCATATTGACAGGGCCTGCTAGCTTGTCCATCTAAAGCAACTTTTAACTCTTCATTTTGTCAAACACGTTGTGGCCCGTTGACATGCTCCGTGAGGCCGCAGAGAGGTTGCATTCGAGAGCGACGCGGCGTGGCGGCACATGGTGATGGACGCCGGTGTGCTACAGCGCGTGCTCCACGTCATCGTGTCAAACGCCAGCGAGTGCCTATCCCGGACACCAGGGGAGCAGCAGCTTAGAGATCACGCGCGCCATCGAGGCCGGACTTGATCTCGTCCGCGCGCTCGCCATCTCTGGCGACGAGCTCAGTCAGCGGTCGTCGCCGATAGCCACCCGGCACGACCTCTTCGACACGGTGACGGACGTGCTAGCAGGCGGCGACATGACGAGGGGCCCGCTGGGCCGTAACAGCGCCGGGTCATGGACGCCGGTGCCGCGACGAGGCCATCGATCTAGAGCTCGAGGATGCGCCGCCGCCACAGTCCTCGTCCTCGCCCGCGCCCGCGGGCGGCGGCAGGAGGGCACCCGGAGCTGGCCATGGCGCTGCTGGCGGAGCTGTGCGCGTGCTGGCGGCTGGCCCGCGTTCCCTGAGGTGGATAAGTCAGCAGGTCACGTCAACGTGAGAGGCCCATTTGGAGGGATTTGGACCTAAATGATATAACATACAAAGTTTATAGACTAAAAAAACCACTTTAAAAATTGATGGATCTAACTGAAACCTGCTCATAAATTAATGGAACCCAAGTATATACCATTTTAACTTGTTGCACTACAAAAGAATTAACTGAAAAAGAACAAAAAAGTAAGAAGCAATGAGACGAGAATCTGTGCGAAACCAAACTCCTGCCATTTCACGTGCGTACATAGAAACAGTGAAATATTTGGTTCCGAATCACTTACTGGAATGACCGTTTGGAAGTAATTCAGGTGATTCTCGTCAGAAACCGGAATGTTTCTTCTATCCAAACACACCCACTTGGGTCTGTATATGTACATAACCGGGTTACAGTACAGTCGCACGTTCATTTGTCCAATGAGTTGCTCATGATCTTAGATCGAGCGCTTGGTCACTTGCGGCATGCCTATATCCATCTTATTATTAGATGCATTCTTGAAGGAGAGTTTGAACACGCTTATAATCATTATATTGTTATTCCAAACATAACACTTTCAGATTAATTCTTTTATACGAAACGAAAGGATAGAAGTGTAGATATAGATATTGGGATAAGGGTGCTACGGCATGGATCATGTTGTATACTCCTGCGAACCAGCAGCGCGATAAAGACGTACGCATGTACGTCTATAATACGCGCCTTTATATCCGTACAAAAACAACTCGACGTCGTCGCACGTTATTAAGGATGCTGTTACCTAGCTACAGCCGTGTTATTTAACACAAGTTCCATAACCATAAGGAGAGCCTCGCTACGCAGCTAGCTAGCGCGATCAGCGCCGTGGTAGCTCCGAGAGTGGCTTGGCAGCGGCCGGGCCGGGTCTAGTTCTTCACCTCCTCCGGTCGGCCAGCGCCGGGCGGCGGCGGGCAGCACTTCTGGCAGCCTCCATGGAATACGTGGTGGCAGCAGCCGTACTCGCAGGCGTGGCTGTACCCACCAGCTGATCCGCCGCCGCCGCCGCCGCGCCTGTCCTTCACGCCGGCGTCGTTGTCTGCCATCTTCTCGTTGTTTTCATCTGCGTGGTGGATGAACAAACGAACTATATATTGATCAGAGCCCCTTCATGAACGTGATTACCATCTGTACTACCGATTAGCTAGCGTAGGTATACGATTCAGCGTCATCGTATCTCGTGTGTAATGAGAAGGAAGAGAAGAGAAAAAACAGGAATCCGACGACGCACAAGTTTGCTCCGCCGCGATGGCGAGCACGGCGGCCGACGCTAGGAGGGCGAGCAGCAGGAAGAGAGCCTTGGACGCCATCGATGTATCGATCGGACGTCGCAGCCGCCGGTGGTGATGACGAAGAAGAGGGACGAGCGATCAGCAGCAGGTTCAGGTGCTATTTATACCGGCCGGCAGCCGCGGATCGAGCACGGCGCAGATAAGGGCGTACTATACGTGAGACGGGAAGAGAAGAGACTAGTGAGGACGGAGAGGTTGATATGCGTGCGCTCTCTTTATTTTGTTCCCACACGGCTGTGAACAACCGGACACACAGGTCGCGGTGTAGCTAGCTGCAGGCACTATCTGTGTCAATCGGCGCGACCGCGTGTCACCCTGTCCGTCGCGGTGTAGCTAGCTGCAGGTCGTGAGCGATCGCTGGTGCGCCACGACCACGAACGCGCCTGCAGTAACCGTCCGCCCTCTCGCGCGCACGCCTCGGGACTCTGACCCAAAAACGTCCCGCCGGGCTAGGTTGTTCCTCAACTCGTGACCACACCGCTGGCGTTCTAGGCACTGGGCAGTGCTAGGCTGTCAGCTCTAGAGCTGGCAATGGCCTCCCGTCTTAATATCAGTGACACATTTTTACACGCCAACAGACATAAATTTCAGACACATTTTTTCCATTTCTCTGATGACTATTTATCCACGTCTCTAATATGTGGTTTTGACATAGTATACTAAAGTGTCATCCATTCTTGAAGTGTTATGTGGTCAGTATTCTCCAAAACATTTGCCTAAAGTATACAATGTTTCCCTCAGGGGAGAATATATATACATGGGTTTTTACCGGAAACTCGTAGGTTACATCGATCCATCAAAACTCGAAAGCATATGTAAGTCATATGGGGAAAGTAAAGGGTCTGTTCGGCTGCAGCGGTTGCGACTTTTTCTACAATGTACTATGTGAGTGCTGAAAAAGCCGTAACCTGCAGCCGCTGCGGCGGTGGCTTTTTCAGCGCTCATATAGAGTAATGTAGAAAAAGCACCATTGGATGTGCATCAAGATACGTGCATGTCAAGAGAGATATCTCATATGGTCTTGCTATACGTGTATGGGTACGTCTGTACGTACTTGCGTTTTCCATATGATCATATAAAATCTCTGCAGTCTGCATGTACCATACATTTCTCTACTGATGTGAAGGTATGTATATCTTAGTACACCTGGATATTATTCATTGTCATACACCTCCACATGACACTCCTTATAGACAAATGTCTCCTAGACAACCTATAGCATTTAGGAAAAGACATTTCCTTATAGACAGAAACAACTGCACCATGTGTGGCTGTCAAATCACTTGATATATTCACCACATTTTCCAATAGTGCTAACACACATGGTGATAATGACTATGGGTAATTTTGTTGTTCTGTATCTTATGGATAGCCTACATGCAGGATGGTGAAGCGTATGCTTACCTTCTCAGCACCCTTGCTCCAGAGCTTAGCTCAAAAACCATGATAGAAACTTCAGATCCAAAGGAGAGGGCGCAGAAAGTACTTGAAACCGCAGAAAAGCTCGATTGTACAAGATATGTAACGTCTAAAGATATTGTTGAAGGTTCGGCCAATCTTAACTTGGCATTTGTTGCTCAAATATTCCAAAACAGGTAAGTACGTAGAGAGAAATGACCTTTCCTACGCCTGTATCTGAGGTTGTCAAGAACTCACAATGAAGTTCAGCAATTAACTAGCATGTGTTATACTTATACCTCTTGCCTATGTCTTCACCATGAACACATTACAATATTTTGATACTGTTGAAATTGAACCTTTCAAATGCATTGTGTGGAAAATCTTCTCTATTTTTGTGAACAGTGTACGTTTGAATGTGCAAATACAGGAAAAACAACTGAAATACATATTATGTTTACCACGTCTTTCATTTAGTTTTTCATACACTAGTACTGATCTACATGGACTGCAATAGCATTCACACCACAGTGAATGTTGAATGTTTATTCAGTTACTCCTCTAAAAGAAAAGAGCATGACTCTTCATCATATCTGCCTAAACTACGAACAACATTTCTCCCTTTGTTAATGCATTTTGTGTGGAACGATTACAAACTTGTGCAGAAATGGTCTATCAACCAACACTGTGGCTCCCGTTCATCAAGATACTCCTGATGATGTGGAGGCATCCAGGGAAGAGAGAGCATTTCGCCTATGGATCAACAGTCTTGGAATTCCAACTTATGTGAACCATTTGTTTGAGGATGTTAGGACTGGGTAAGATTTAACTCTATGAAGAAATGACCTTAGCTTTTTTGGTATATATGTTGCTACCTTACCGAAGTTTATTTGCAGATGGGTTATGCTAGAGGTTCTTGACAAAATTTCTCCTGGGTCAGTTAACTGGAAGCATGCATCTAAACCACCAATTATTATGCCATTTAGAAAGGCTGAAAACTGCAATCAGGTTATCAAAATTGGGAAGGAGTTAAACTTTTCTCTGGTGAATGTAGCAGGAAATGACATTGTGCAAGGAAATAAGAAACTAATTCTAGGTAAATACATGTTTATATATAAGCTTCTTTGATCTTATTCCAATTGTTGCTTTGATGCTCCAGATTTCTTTTAAAAAGTTGTTCACATTTTCACTTATTATTATGGATAGATTATGTTATTTTAACCTATCAAGGTTCAACTGCTTCTATAATAACGTCTATTATATCTAAAAGGAAAAAGAAAAAGAAAGGGAGCAAATACATATGTGAGGAGGCGGCTTAAATTACTTTTTGGGGGATATTTTAGGCTTAAATTTCGTACAAGAGGAGAAAAAAAATGCTTCGATTACTTCATTGAGTGTTTTTTTACTCCCAGCTTTCCTGTGGCAACTCATGAGGACTAGTATCCTACAATTGCTAAAGAACTTGAGATCCCACTCTAAAGAGAAAGAGATCACAGATGCTGACATTCTCATTTGGGCTAATAACAAGGTCAAGGAATCAGGCAAAACTTCCCATATTGAAAGCTTCAAGGTTCATCGACCGACCTTCACCATTTTGGCTAAATTGAGCTATCCTGTTATGTGCATAACATTAAGCAGTCCTATTGATTCTCTAGGACAAAACAATAGCAGATGGGGTGTTCTTTCTTGAGCTCCTTAGTGCTGTGCAGAGCAGGGTTGTTGACTGGAACATGGTGAAGAAGGGGAGGATGGTTTGTATCAATTTCATGTATATATTGTGTTATCCTGTGAATTTTCACGAGTACCATGTCATTTGCTTTCATGGTTGCAGAGGACGAGAGGAAGCTGAATGCAACATACATAATCAGTGTTGCTAGGAAGCTAGGTTGCACTGTCTTCTTGCTGCCTGAAGACATAATGGAGGTAACAAGAGAATGCTGTATTAGTTGCACATATAAATTCGGCAAAAATGATATATAAACAATAACTTCCTTATAACAAGCTTATATAAATCAACACTAGGCATACCAGTGGTCTCTCTCAGCTCAACCTCCGTCGTCCATCCTATGAGGCAGTGAAAAGAACAGTATTTTTTTTTTCTTTCTGTTTGCACTGTCGTGGCAGGTGAACCCAAAGATGATCCTCACCCTTACTGCAAGCATCATGTACCGGAGCCTGCAGAATCAAGGGCCTTACCAATGTCCAGGACCACAGGATGCTCTTCCAGAGGAAGAGGAAGGCGAGGAGGAAGAAGAAGAAGAGGATTTTGAAGGAGGCGTCGAAGATGGTGTCTCCAAAACGACCACTTGATAAGAATGTCATGGCTGACTAGGCATTCGCGGTTAAGTTACTGGTTTGTCAAGGGCATTTCAGAAATGCTGAGGCAAAGAAATCCAAGGGAGCTGCAAAGAAGAAAGTTTTGGGTAACATATATAGTGGATTTCATTCTTTGCATGCCAAAGACAAATAGCAGCAATTCTAGTTTGTTTACTAGGAAACAGTGCGCACAATTGCGCAGCCTAATCTTGTAAACTAAGTGTATGCAAATGTGAGAATAAAACCAAAAATATTTTGCTAGACTGATAGATCAAGATCATTAGAAGTATTTTCATATTTCTGGGCCTTGGATTTGGGCCTCGTGAGGGGGCTGGTCCTTCTCGTTGTGTCGGCTTGGCCTGCCTGCTTGCCTAATTAATGCAGCCCCCTTATTTGAGTTGACATATCCAGCATTTGACTCTGCAAGATGCATGCATGAGCATGATGCCTTGTGATGGGTACTGTTACGGTTCATCTGTATCTGTATGTAAGCCCGTGTTCAGTTGCAAAAAAAAGTTCCAAAAAGTGCTACAGTATCCATCACATCGAATCTTGTGATACATGTATGGAGCATTAAATGTAGATGAAAAAAACTAATTACATAGTTTGGTGGGAAATTGCGAGACGAACATTTTAAGCCTAATTAGTCCATGATTAAATACTAATTACTAAATAAAAACAAAAATGTTATAGCGACCAAATTCTAACTTTCCCCTCAACTAAACAAGGGCTAAGGTGTTTCTCTCTTTCAGTGTATTGGCAGCAGGAAAAAAGATGTGTCAGCAGTCAGCTCTCTGCAAACGGGCACAGAAATGGTCGCCAGGGGGTATGCAGAGACAGAACCGAAACGCAACTTGTGTGGCTCAATCTGGAACCAAAAGGAAGAACCATCGTCTAAGGTGGTGTTTGATCTGGCGACTAAAATTTAAGATATGTGTCGGGAGGATGCTGCATGAAGTATTCGGATACTAATAAAAAACAAATTACATAATCCGTCAGTACTCCACGAGACGAATTTTTTAAGCCTAATTAACCCATCATTAGCACATGTTTACTCTACTGTTGTATGTCATCTTTAATCAAGTAAGCGCGTGTTTAGTTCCCACCCCAAATTCCCAAAAAGTGCTACAGTAGCCATTACATCGAATGTTGCGCTACATGCATGGAGTATTAAATGTAGACAAAAAAAAACTAATTACACAGTTTGGTTAGAAATTGCGACACGAACGTTTTGAGCTTAATTAGTCCATGATTGAACACTAATTGCCAAATAAAAACGAAAGTGCAACATTAGCCCAAATTCCAAATTTCCCCAAACTAAACACGGCGTAAGCAACTTTGACCGGTCTTTTTTTTCCTGTTCCTGCTGAAAAGTAAATGATGATAGCATCAAAATCCACCTTTCTTTTTCCTCAATCTTTAGCCTCTGTTTTCTCCAGCATTTATAAAATTGATCTCTGGTGGCTCACATTGTTGAGTGAAGTTAAGCTGAACTGCCTTTTTGCAATGTTCCAAACCAATAATTCTGAAATAATACAATTTTTGAACAAGTGTTTTGGGGTTTTCTGCTCAATCTTACACAGTTTAATTTGCACAGTGGATCAACCAAACAGACCTTAGCAGTGTTAGAAATTTGCAGCCAAGGTTTGCGGTTTATACCTGATGGTTGTACTCCTCCTCACTTGTGTGAGGTTTGATATGATATATATATTTCGGACTTTATTATCAATATGTAATGTGCTACCAGGAGAGCACGTACACAAAATCAAGTTTTGGTTGAGATACGAGTTCCTCTCGAAACTTAATTTTAAATTTTAACGAATTTATATTGTTGTGCTCTAAATCGACATGCCTTTGCAAAACTCATGCACACCACCTATTTTTTTGAACTATTATGAGACCTGACTAGGCCTGGAGCCCTGGACATAATGTGATTTAACATGCTCTTTCTGGATCAATGACAGGTGCTCTGTTTTCGTTCAGGCGATTGAAAATTAACGTAGGAGAGGTACGTTGTGTAAGCAATTAAGGCCCTGTTTAGGTCCTAATTTTTTTCATCCCAAAGTGTCACATCGAATCTTGCGGCACATGCATGGAGTACTAAATGTAGACGAAAAAAAATTAATTGCACAGTTCTCGGCAAAATCGCGAGACGAATCTTTTAAGCTTAATTAGTCCATGAAAAGTCTTAAGTGCTACAGTAACCCACATGTGGTAATGGCCGATTAATTAGTATCATTAGATTCGTCTCGTAGTTTTCTGATGGGTTCTTTAATTTTTTTTAATTAGTATCCAAAAACCCCTCCTAACATCTTTCCGACACATCCGATGTGACACAAAAAAATTTCACCTCACCAACTAAACACCGCCTAAGTATAGATCTCAAATTTGTGAAACTTTTTGCGATGTCGATCTATCAGTATATATGTATATGAAGAACAGGTTATGTATTAGTATAATGTCCTCTAATTTATTTATTCCATGGCATGCATTGTACATTAACCACACCATTTGGTCCAAGTAAGCAAGTACAACACCAAGAGAAATAGACAACACGACGACAATAGCTAGTGAGTCAAATCACCACACTAAGACGACGTACACACTACATAGACACATATGCATCTTTATTTATTCAAATCAAAACCAGACTTCTGCTGGCGACGTAGTAGAGTAGGCCCTATTATGGACATGGACGTAGTACTTATTAGCTACGATACGAGTCCATGCATCTTTTGATGCGGCTTCAGTTATGGACCTCGGTGAACTCCGGGCGGTACATGGGCTCCGGGATCTCGTCGGCGCGCGAGCAGCACCGGCAGCCGCCGTAGTACCCGCGGTTGCAGCATCCCCACCGGCAGTAGCCGCCGTGGCCGCCGCCAGGGTAGCCGCCCCCGCCCCGCCAGCCGCCTCCCGGGTAGCCGCCACGGCCGGGGTAGCCACCCCCACCGCGCCAGCCGCCGCCGGGGTAGCCGCCGCCACGGTAGTCCTGCACGTCAGCTTTGTTCTCGTCGTCCTTCCTCGGCTCTGCATGATCCAATCAATACGTAGTAGTACGTTACGTACACACATATATAGTGCAAGTTACAGTAAGTATATACCGAGCTACTTCGATTCATCAGCTAGCTTTGTTTTGCTTGAAAGCTGAAGCAGTGAAGCTAATCAAACTCACGGGTTTGCTCGTTAGCTGCTGAGGCGACAAGGAAAACGGCGGCGAGCAGGAGAGCGAACACGAGGAGTCGCTTGGACGACGCCATGTTTGTCTCTCTCTCTTTTCTCTGCAACTGCAATTGTACTGGATCAACTGCGAGTGTGTGATGAGAAGCTATGCATGCGAACGAAGCGTATTTATAGGCAGAACGAGGAGGCTGGATATGGCTACCGATCTTTCTGAGATCCATCGTCGTCGGCATGCAACTGTAGTAGGGCTACTAGGGGCCCATGGATAATTATAAGGGTTTGCCGTTGGGAGGAGATGGATGGCATTAACGCTGGCTTCTATCGTGCTTGCAAGTAGCCCAGCCGCCAGTGGCTGCGTGATCTCTCTGCCCGTTGAAATCTTATGCTCTCGGTGGGAAACATGCATGCAAGTTTGACTCGGAAGCATGCATGCGCGCATGAACTATTAACACGTGTACGTGTAGCAAAAATTGTACATGTAATAGGTTATCATGCAGGCATGATGATACTACGCATGCATTTATATTATGTAATAAATATGTTCAACTCGACGAACTGGATAAGGGAATCGTTCTCAAATAGCTAGTCTAGAAAGAATTCTATTGGCTATCAAGAAAAGAGATCAAACAGCTAGCGACTTCAGAATAGCTAGTCTAGCACGATCTTCTAGAAACAACTATCTCACAGCTTGCACAACCCTCAAATGTAATGTTTTTTTCTAGGCCTCATCTAGCTAGCCATTTGCATTTTGCCATTGAGAACGCCCTAAGCTAGACAACAACTCTCCTCCATCAGTATAAGGCATGCATCGATAATGAGAAAAATAGTATCTAGATGGTTTTATCCACATAAGGTCAAATTCCATAGCATTGTGAGATGACTTTGTGGTCTAGTGGGAAGATAACCTGATTTCTTTCTTGTTTTGCCTCTCTAAAGCATTTCCACCAGAACCTCTTTCCCCTTTCTCCTTAAAATCAGGTATAGGGGATTGAGAAAACTGAATTATAGAATTTAAGGGATATGTGCTCCAACAGAGAGCATAGGACATTTATGGAGACATCATCTTGAACATGATTCTAGCAGAGATCAAAAGGTATGAGTGAAGACACGAAGCAAAATTTGTCATCTTGAAGAAAGAATTGAGTTCTATGCCCATTGGAGTTCTATATCGCCCTCGAAAGCAAAAACATGGTCAATACACTGGAGGTAATCATCATGATGAGTCAAATTTGGTTCCGAGAGAATGTTTTTTTAGTATGCAAGCTTAACTAAAAACAAGGGGGCATATGCTGACAACCAAAGTTGTGTCCAAAGGAGGTGGATCGTTCTAGGATGATATGGGACAAATAGCCTAGCTGGACTTGTTTTTGGTAACCTTTTCAAATGACAAGATGGATTCCACCATTGCATTCCTCTTGAATAGGTGATTGAAATGCATATATAGAACGTCCAATTTGGAGTTTGGATGAGAAAACTATGGCTTCAGGAAGATACACCTCGCAAAAATCGGCTAAGCCAGTTTTGGTAGGCAAATTCGAGTTTAGAGTTGTATTTTTATGTGATTTGTAAGGGTTTTTGACCCCTCACAGGATAAGTTCACCCTACCATGTATAATTGTTCGTCTCTTGATCTGACGATCAAAGGTGGCACTTGAGGCTTGCTCACCAACATAGGGAAACTTGTCGACGTCCACGCCATGACGAGGGCCCCTACCTGATGAAAGCTTTGATTATTCCTTTGCTAGTTTCACTACGTCAGAATGGGTTTGTAGGGGCGGCTCAAGACCATTTGTAGAGACGGTTTGGTCAGCCGTC